ACACACACACACACACACACACACACACACACACACACACACACACACAGCCACACACACACACACACACTTGTTTACAATAACTCAAAACACATAGACACACACTGCCACACACACTGCCAACGCCCACCCTTCTGAGAAGTCCTGTACACACAAACACTGCTGTAAACTTACAGACAGCTTAAGTGGTGATCCCTTCAATGCACCTGAATTTGTTCACATGGCCACTCTCTTCATCTTGCAGACAACCCTCCCTTGTTGCTATGGAGATTTCCTGATGTAGCACCATGCTGGAGGTGAGCTTTGATGACATCACCGGTATTTTTGTGATCTCAAAGGCAGTTGTATCTTTTACCAACATGTTTTTAATATAGCCAAATAAAGAGAACCAATCAGTCAGAAAAAATTAAATGTTTAAATTGGAGAAAATGAATTGTGCTGCACTGATAAACATTGGGAGTATTTAGATTACAACTATCACAGCATTTCCAATATGGCAAAAAAAAGTTTTGATATTGGTGGTCACACAATAGCCTAGAGAGATGGCAGAGTTATTAGCAAGCTGGTGGGCTCCCTGGAGCAATAAAGCACACTTGCTTCATACACAGGATGACAGTGTGATGGCTGTAAAACTCTGTTAGAATGTTAATATTTACCTCCTGCGGCACAGAGATGATATGAAGTTTTCCACTGGACTCACACACAGTTCAATTCTCATTATGGTTCAGCTGTGCAGTTCAGGGAAAAGCCAAATGTTTTGCAATATTGTGCTATAAAAGCAATCATCTCTTTTCCATGCACATTTTAAAATGGCTGAGGTTGCAAAAATGGTGTCAAGAGCATAGTTGCTTGTACTTTTATTATCATACTTCTATTTCAGTTGTGTTTACAAATAGGATATGTTCTGTTTGGCACCATCACAGCTGTTTAGTACAACCCCAACCTGTGTTGCACGAGATAGCTGCTCAAGGGCTACACACCAAACCCTGTTCACTATACTAAAAGAGTATGATGACAATAAACCATTTTGTTTTGTCTGTCAACATATTTATGGATGCTAATACCCCTATAAATCTAGGACATTAGAGCAACATTGAATGATTAAAGCAATTTATAATCACACACAGAATCACATTCTATATTGTAAGCACTGCTATTACTCAGTGTTTCTCAAACTCTTTCATACCAAGGACCACATAACCAATAAAAAAACACTCGCGGACCACCTAACCCCACAAATATCCAAAATCACATCGTTTTTCTTGAACAGATTACAAATCGCCTGAAAATGGTACAAAAAAGTGGCAACATGTGTGATGAAGGTGTTGCGCTGGGCTATATCATACAATCGCAAACTGGTTTTATGAATAAAGTGAAACTTAAGCTCGCTCCATTGCGGAGATATTCCCACGAGAGTGCGTAAAACTTTAATTTATTAATTTATTTAAAATGTGAAATTGTACCAATATACTCACGGACCACTAGGGGGCGCTCACGGACCACCAGTGGTCCACGGACCACACTTTGAGAAGCACTTGTTCTAGTGTCCTACTGCAAACTATTTGATGTTTTTGGTCTGCCCTTATTTGCCCTTCATCCTGTTAAATAATGAAATCCAAATTAAATATGTAGCTTATACTAAACCATACCAAAGTGAATTATAGAAGAGGATTAATTCTACAGAAACATCAACACAGACAGGGTAATGCTGGTTCAAATGTCTCTAATCATGATATCATCAAAACCACACAAATACTAGGAATTACGGTTTATAAAGATATTTTCCCAGTTCAATTTTCTCATTAATTAATAAAGAATCTCCTTGCAAATAATGACAGTACTACTGATATCTCTTTATATGGGTCATGTTTAAGACGGCACAGAATAGCACAGAACAAATACTGGCATCCACAACCTTCCACTGGCGTTATTCTGCCCCATCCCAAAATATCAGTGCACTCTGGGATAAAACAGAGCCATTCATAGGTACGTGTATACATGTATGTGCATGTATGTATATATATGCTTCTGTATTGTTCTCCATGTGTATAGGATAGGGGAATAGCTGCAACCAGCACACATACATAGGTGTTTGTATCACTTACAAATACAGATACAATTTGTATCATCTGCAATACAGAGCACACAGATTAACAAAAGGCATATGGCTAACAGTCTTTGATTTGTATCACAGTTTCATATCAGCAAATCACGGTCGGCCTCAGTTTTAGCCACTTTTGACTTGAAGCTAAATCTGTTTTTCAGTTATTGTCCATAATGAATATCATTACCTTAAAACATCAATGGGTAGAAATCTGCGTTAAATCCAGGAATTAGATGTTCTTTGCCATATTGCGGGCTTTTTCCTAAACCCGTCCTTCTGAATTTTATATGGAAAGCAGTATAGAGAAATGCCAGAGTCCATAAAACAGATCCAGCTGAATTCTCTCGCTGCCTGAATCCATTTTGACGGCGTGATCGATCCACTCACAGTGTGTCAAATCCAGAAGAAAAGCAGTCAGAATACTGCAGCTACAAAACTGTATGTGGAATACATTATATGTCAGTTTTTTTTGTGTCATTCTAGCAATTGCATTTTGGATTGAGTGGTGTACCACTGGAAGGGGAGAACTGGTAGGCACCCGGTCTGGGTTTAAGGACACCAGTCAGGAAGAGGGTAGGGGAAGAAATATTGATCCAGTGGGAGTTCTGTCTCAACTCTTCGCTTTGGCTAATCTGGCTCATCAGGAGGACCAGAGTCATTGCGCCCCTATAGAGAAAAAAAGGTCACTGCAGGTTAATGGGTAATCTATACAGCTCTAAACAGAGAACACCATTCTAAATCGTTAGCAGTGAATGTTAGGTAAAGTTCACTAATGTCATATTTACTCTTCTTATCAAATCAAGTCTGTTTACCTAAATGGGAGGCAGTATAATTGGGGTCGTCAGGGTTTCCAGGAGGTCTGTGCAGAAAAATGTAGCTACTTTCACCTGAGAGAGAAAGAGAGAGAGGAGGAAGAGGAGAATGGGGAGGAGAGAAGACTAAATTGTTAGAGCCACACAGAGTAACCAGACCCATCACATATAGTTTGGTGATCTTATTAACAATGCAAGGATGCTGCTCTTATCCCTGCTGTCTCCTTACCCCTCATGCACAACTCAAAGTGTAAACAGTGTCAGATCATAAGGAGAGGAGAAGGGAGGTGAAGAGGGCACATTTTATGTGAGCGAGACCATTTTGACAAGGGCAACATTTCAGTGCCACCACTGACAGCATTACAGTCTTGGAGTTAATCAGACATGACACACTGCAATTCATCCTGTACAAGACCATCAACCAAATGCCTACATTTTAGTAAAGATAAAGAAAGAGGAGCCGATGTTAGGATATGTAATAAGGGATCTGGACAGAAACAATTGTGAAACACTAGTGAGCTGCAATGTTGCACATCATCTGAGCTTGACAGAATAGGAATTTAAAAGACAAAAGTGCATGTTACCGTTCTTTTTTATGTGCGTTCTTTTCTCGATAATTCATCCTCGCCAGGCTCATAAGATTAGCTTCCAGACTGACCAATCCAAATAGATTATAAACAAGCAGCTATATCTTCCAAAATATAGTTTGCTTACAATCAATAAATCAGTGATTCTCCTCTCTGGATCTTTTATTTGATTTGAGAAATGAGCAGGCAATTTAACTGATGACCAACACAGAGGGTTTCACTGAAAATGTATGAAGTCAAGGTCAGGGGTTAAAACGGAAAGCAATAATCTATGACGTGGTGTTTCTTTCTGTGGGACCTCTCACTTTGCCTTTAGGGTAAGCCAACTAATGAGAATGCCCTAATTATCACTCAGCCATGAGTGTTGAGGTATAATAGTCAACTACCACACGCATGCTCACAAGAACACATTCAAGTGCACACAGAGTCACACTCAATAGATTCAGAACATGGCTGATAGATTCCCCATCCTGCCTTTTTAACATGTTATATTTCCCTCTCATCCCATCTCTTTTTGAGAGAGAGTAATCACAGTCAGGGGTGACAGTGAACATAAATCTGCAGGGTAGCAGGGCAGCAGTTCCAAAGATAGGAATTGGGTACAGGAAAAAAGGCAAGGTAGAGGCTTTACTACTAACAATAATTTTAAATGTTTTTTTTCACACACTTCAATATATAAACACATGTTTATAAGCATGAGAGTGAGATTCAATGCATTTAACAATGTTGTTAAATGGCAGCTCTCAATTTGCTCTTGTTGTGAGATATCTCATGGTTATGTTACCTCTGAATCTTTTTGACATCACTGGCAAATGTTGTCAGAGACATCAGGTGAGCCACCTGTTCTTTAAGGAGATGATAGCCACCAGGGGGCAGCACTGAGACAGGTTGGGTGGGCATGCTGTTGGTGCCCTTATTCAGTCATCTGAAGGTTAAAGACAACCTGGGCGCACTGCAGGAGCATCTGCCCCATTACAGAACATAGGAAAACCCACACACTAAGGCCAGTAAAGGTTTAAACATGTATGCAATGTTTGCTGCATGAATAAGAGCATAGACAAAAAACCAACCACCTCTTGCTTTGATTATGCTTTTACTGGGATTAAATGTCATTAAGGTAACACTCTTTATATTGAACTAACCTAAATGTATTGACATTCCCATTAAACCCACACAGTAAAACAAACTGGTTTTATGACTAAATGTAAAGGGAGGGTTCATAAAGAGGCCAGGGCCTGAGTGACAGTGTTCAGAACTTACCATGTTTATCAGTGGGAGAACAGCAGCATCTGCTGAGCGCCTGCAGTAGCGCACTCAGGACAGCCAGACACAACGTGCTCCCAGTTCATTCATAATTCCTCACGCGCTGCCTCCCCTTCCACATCTTCCGGTTTAGCACGTCTCCAAGCGGTGCCTGGTTCATTTCGGGACCCAGTTAATAGTGGCAAAATGTGTGAACAGACGTTGTTCTCCAAATTTGCTTCGTGCGTCAATGCTCGGTATTTTGGGGCTCGTATTTTACGCACGCAAATCGTAGGCTAATGTCTTATTAGAGACTCAATACAAGCTTTTTTGATAACAATCTCTGATATAGATTGCAAGCCATCTGGAAGGTTTCTGTGGAAACAAGGGTGCCATGGCAACGGTGACTGGGGTTACCGAGGAAACGAATGTCTCCATGGCGACTGCATCACTATATTTGAGGCATCCGAAGAGAAGCACGCTCCATCTTTGACGTGTACGTGTGTGCTGTGTTTATCCACTCTCAGTGTGTCCTGCACCGTGACTGAAAGCAGGCGGCCCCTGTGTTTATATCACACCGTGACAGTTCATATGAAAGGATAAGGGATTTTTTTTAACAGTAACATTTTGACTAGACTTTAACGTACAATTAGGCCTAAGTCATCTCACAGAACGGTCTAATTTAGATAATATGCAAAACTGTGACATTACATGTGTTAAAACACTCAGACACATATTTAAATGATTCTGAATATTATAGGCTATGACTGACGAATCACGACTCATAACACGTATGTCAATAGGCTACAATGTGAGTGCTCTTCGAGTAGCCTACCATACATTTTTACTCATCTTTCAGTTATAAAGCTTCTAATAGGCTGTTGTGATGATATATGCACATGATGCAATTTCACAATGCACAACAGGTCAATTCCCTAACTCACCGAAGAATACTAGACCTAGCCTACTATTTTAAATGAGTTATTTATCTCCAAGCGCGAAAGTAAAACTGATTTGTGAATCCTCATCACCGAAATGAAAAGGACAGATTTTGTGAATGGAGCACAAAGCAGCGTCTCTGAACTGACAGGATTTTGCTTCCCCTCCCTCATTATTCCTTTGTTTATTCATCTGATCTACCACTGCTTCCTCAGCGCTGTAGCATAGCGACAGAAACAGCTGTGTGTTTACACACTACCCCTTCCTGCGTTCAGAGCTATGACTCAATAATTGGCTACACGTCGGTGAAAATCTTTTTGTTTATATTCACACAGTTTTCCGAGTTGTATTGCGTGGTGGTGAGGAAGTTTGGCTGCTGTTTGAACGTGTTGTTGATCCCGTGCTCTTCTATCACCATATACTCGCTCTTGCTGAGTGAGGAAGAGGAGCGAGACTTCCTCAGCTCCTCTGTGTCCGCGAGGGGCTGGCAGCTGCCCACGTGCAGGTACTGTGCCTGCTCTTCCCCTTCCCTCTCTCTGTGGTAAAAGTAGTTAAAGTTGGAGACAATGACAGGCACGGGCAGAGCAATGGTCAACACACCAGCGATGGCACAGAGAGACCCCACGATCTTCCCCCCGATGGTCACGGGGTGCATGTCCCCGTAGCCCACGGTAGTCATGGTGACAACAGCCCACCAGAATGCGTCTGGAATGCTGCTGAACCCTGAATCTGGGTCGTCTGTTTCAGCAAAATAGACAGCACTTGAGAAGAGGATGACACCGATGAACAAGAAGAAGATGAGCAGGCCCAGCTCACGCATACTGGCCTTCAGAGTCTGTCCTAAAATCTGGAGCCCTTTGGAGTGACGCGAGAGTTTGAAGATGCGAAACACCCGAACAAGCCTAATTACGCGCAGAATGGTTAATGACATGGCCTGCTGTCCGTTTCCTTGTCTCTCTGCCAGCTCTGTGCCCAGAGTGATGAAATAGGGAATGATGGCCACAATGTCAATAATATTCATGATGTTTTTTGAGAAAATGGCTTTACTAGGGCACGCAAAGAAGCGCACCAGCAGCTCGAATGAGAACCAAATAATACACAACGTCTCCACAACAAAGAAAGGGTCAGAGAATGGGCTGGTGAAATACGGAAGTGTGCCATTAATCGCAGGTGCAATAGTGATCGGATCCCTGTGGTCGTCCCTGAACTCCGGCAGTGTCTCTAAGCAGAAGATGACAATGGAGATGAGAATAACCAGGACAGACACTATCGCTATGCCCCGCGCGGGACCCGAGCTCTCTGGGTATTCAAAAAGCAGCCACACATGTCTTTGGAATTCATTTTCTGGCAACGGTCGCTCCTCCTCCTTTATGAAGCCCTCATCCTCCCTGAACTTCTCCATAGCCTCCTCACCCAGCTCATAGAAGCGGATCTCCTCAGAGAAAATGTCAATGGGCACATTAACGGGTCTCCTGATGCGCCCGCCAGACTGATAGTAATAAAGTATAGCGTCAAAGCTGGGTCGATTTCGATCAAAAAAGTACTCGTTTCTGAGAGGATCAAAGTACCTCATCCTCTTCTTGGGGTCTCCCAGAAGTGTCTCTGGAAACTGAGAGAGAGTCTTTAGCTGGGTCTCGAAGCGTAACCCCGAGATGTTGATGACCACCCTCTCGCAGCATTCATGATCCGGTTCATATCGGTCCAGAGAGAGGTGGCCCGTGAGAGCCGCCGACTCTTCCAGCATGTTATCACACGCCACCACCGTCATCACGTCGGTCTCTGTCTCGGTGTATCCGTGGTTCACCAGATTGTCGCCCCGGTTGTTGGTAACGCTCAGCGGGGGTGATTGCAGGAGGCTAAGGTGGTCGTCCATGCGCGGTTGAAGAGGCATTCAGGGGCGGCCGCCTCGCCCCCTCCGCGATCCCCGGTCAGCCACAGCTGCCACCACAGCCTCTTCTCCTCCACCGTCTCTCTCACTCTTTCCCTCCGCTTTCACTCTCTACTGTTGCTGTTCCCGCCCACGAGGAGAGATCTGGGTTTATAAACAAGCCATCCACCCGCCCATGGCGCGCCAGCCCTGGGTACCATATCCCGTCCTCCACCAATCTCAGGACACACCGAAATACTGAAGAAGCAACAGACGGGCGTCATTCAACACCATCATTTGGGCGTGCCTGCCTCCCTCTGCCCCTCACTGTCTTGTAGACACACACTCAAGCAGCACAAAACACACACATGCACACTCACTAAGGGAGTGAAAGGACTATCCTGCTTTAAACAAGGTCATTGCCCACAGATGGGCAGGACGTTTTGAAATAGGCTACTCATACATCAGAGCCTAATTTTCCGGAACAGCACCAACATCATGCATCACCCTTTGTTACATTTGTTGTTCATCCAAGACAAATATTTGGGTGTTCCATAGAATTAGCACCAATGCATTTGGAAAATGAAAATTGTAGGTACTTTGTTCTGCCGTAGCAGTTCTTAATAACTCTTAATGATGATGATGTTTATCTAAAGTCTTAAGTAACTGAAGTTAGTGGATGGAAAGAGATTCTATTAAAAAAAAACTAAAATATTCTATACTGTATTACACACAAAATCAAGTATTATCTAAAGAAATACATGAAGGATGGCATCATAGATACACAATCCTTTCATATGCACATTACTCACATGTCTTATTTAAAGGCTAATATTGTGAATGTCAAAAGGGCAATTATAGTACATCGCAGTTCCTGTGACAGATGTGATGGGCAGAGAGTAATCCGTGCCTCTCCAATCTGAAACCTGACCGAGGTTTACTCTCCCGGATTATCAGATGAACTGTGCTATTTATCCTTTACAACTATTGTTTTTGATGTCATGATGTTCAGCCCAAAAAGTGACAACTGTTCCCATATTTAACCATAAATGATATAAAAATATAAGGATGAAAATAACTGGGATGATTATTCAAAAGCATATGTTGTACAAGGTAGCGATACAAATCTAAACAGGAACTATTTGTCTTTTTTTCCATCAAGTTTTCTCCTCTAATTCTTCTATACTGTATGTGTGGCAGGCTACACTTTTTATTTAAGTTGAAGAGACTTTCTGACTTTGGTTGTTGCTGTTGGAGGCGAGGCGCTGAAAGGAAATGAAAAACAATGAAAGTTCCCAGGGACAAAGAGTTTTTATTGTTATAAACACTATTTATATGTTTTTCACATATCAAAGCAAATAGTGCTCAGACGGTACTGCTGTATTGGCTACACTTCAAAAACAAAACATCCAACTCAATTGTTTACCTATTATGTGCTCTTATGGCCTGGGGTTAACCAAGCCAGCTGGGTACCTTTATTTGAAGCCATTTATTATGGCTTCACAATGCTATGTATGTTTTAGGTTACGAAATCTGCTCAGGCAAAAATCTTTCTTCTGATTGGCTGATGGCTATAGACTAACACTATTTCCACAAATGTTCAAATAACAGTTTCCTCATCCTCGTTGTTTTATTTTGTGTGATGATTATTTCTGTGTATACGTAGACTGTCCTTTATTCACAGATCAGACTTGTGAATTTGGTCACCTGTGGAGAGGATTTTTCTCAATACCTATAACGTTTATACACAATATATTTCTCACAAAGTTAGAGGATATGAGGACAATCCCTTTAGGTTAGGAGATGGTACTTTCCTTACTTTAAATTATAGCTGCACTGGGATATTATAAATGTATTCAGTGTGTGTGTGTGTGTGTGTGTGTGTGTGTGTGTGTGTGTGTGTGTGTGTGTGTGTGTGTGTATGTGTGTGTGTGTGTGGTGGATATGTGACTTAAAATAAAATAAGAGGGTAAGAGTTGATGGGTTACTAACCTGAATACATTCAACATTGTCATTAAACCTTTTATACAATTTATTTGTGAAAACTTATATTTGAACTTCATTCTTTAGACACATTTGCATGCTAACATAACATCAACAAGTAAAGGAACACAATATTGAAGGGAAGAGAGGGAAGTAACCCTCCACTAATTGTGAGTGATTACTTTTTGCTGTTCAAGAACATCTGCTTCCTCCAGATTAAATTAAATGAGCATCCAACGACTGGACTAATCTGAGAAGTCTCCCATCAACATGGGCAATGTGCTGCAACACCCAATCTGACAGCAAATCACCCGTCATACACACAAACCTGGACTTCACTTGTAAAAATGTTGCATTTAAAAACACTAAGTCCTTGCAAACACTCCCTAAATGACCCCAGTTTTCCTACAGTGTAAATGTAAAACTTGGCCACAGTGTCTTTTCATAAAACCCCCAAGGGTCACTATAAGTTCTTCTGACCAAAACCAAACTGCATTTAAAAAAAAATGTTGTTCCAAGGAGAAAAGTCCCCAGAGAGAGAAGGATAAAGCCGACTATGTGTGTTGAACCCAGGAAGAATAGCCAATGCTCATGCTAATAGGGATATCATCTGACCTTTGTAGTAACAGAGCTTTATTACAATCTAAGATAATATAACTGACAGGGGGCATTTTGCTGCATAGTGAATAGTTTAAGTTTTGATACTTTTAGTAGATTTTCTTAAATATTGTTTTTAATACTTTTTATGAATGCATGAAAGCTTAAATGGAAATGTGTTCAATTGTGGTATTGTTGCTTGAGTAAATGAATACTTCTTCCACCACTGTAAACTGTTGAATACTTTTCTGTCGCTTCGACAGTGATTCTTTTTCCATCAATGCATTCAAACTGAACTGAGGTTTGTTCAACCGGAAGCACAATTCTATGGTCAAATCAAAATAAAAAGAATAATTGAATTGGGGAAATACAGGAGGAAGGCTTGGATTAGTTAAACAAAAAAAGAAGGTCTCAGTAACAGATCCCTGCTCTGAGTCTAAGTGTTGAATTCTGAAAATTCTTAGCCAACTGTATAAAGACAATGACTGTTAAGCACTGTGACTCTGAAACATTAAGTGTAGAGCCTGTTTTTACTATTGAGGTCACTTTGAGCTGTCTTGTATTAAAAGGGCCAATTGTTCCACAGGGAAATAGCTTAGGGACAGCCAAAAGGCCTTTTAATGTGGTGTCAGGTTAAATATAGGACCAACCCGACTCCCTTATTAACCCAGGAAAGTAGGCTACCTTGTACATTGCACTTGAATGCCTCACAATGGAATGTGGCTGACTGAAAGGCACTGCAACAGTCCCGAAAAACATGTGAGCGGGATGTGGGCCATTTGTGGAAAGAACAGCTCAGCTGGCTGAGGTCATGGACATCTGGTTTCACTTGAGAAAATGGGCAGGTTTAGATCTTCTGCAAGGGATGCACTACAGCCTCCTTTTGCAGTTCCAGGAAAAGGGTTGAATTTTATGTCTCTCATAGAAGATTAAGGATGGGGATCATGTATCTGGCAGACCTGTAACAGCTTCTTCTGCTCAGCATTTGCTCTCTGTGTGGTTGGAAGCTCTGCCCTCACAAGGAGACTACATGTGCTTTTGTTTCTTTCAAGGAGTGTTTCCTTTCAGGCCATCGCTTCAGGAAATATAAACGGTTTTCCTCATTACCACCCTCCACACGCTACTAGCTGTAATGGAACATTTATTTTGATAGTTGTTCTCATTTGTTTTCCTTGTTTCTAATTAGGCTATGCTACTGCCCATCCGGCTGAGCCAATGTTTCCCCTCTTAGGGGTTCTCGGGAGTTCCTTTCTTGTCTTCACAATGGGTCTAATTTTAGTGCCATGCCAATTTTCTTGTCCAGCAATATACATGCTAAACAATGCTGGATCTAATCATAAATAAACAACAAACAAATAGAGTATACCGCAACAAGAGGCTCGGCCAGGCTGTACAGGGATGCGTTGAGCTAAATGCTAATGTCCAAATAATGACACTCGCAATGACTTAATTCTGATGTCTAATGTTAACCATCTAAGTGTAAGATTTTAGCATACTAACATTTGGAAAACCACCAAACACAACGCGCAGCTGAGGCCGATGAAGATGTCATTAGTTTGCAGGTGTGACAAATTAGGATGTTTTACATGACGGCAGCGCGAGTGGAAATGGGGGACAGGGGACACAAAAAGTCAATAGGATTTATAAGATATTATTATATATAAACTCTAGTGCCACTAGGAACAAAATATATAAGATAACCAAAGTCAGTAGGATTCAGTCATGATGAGTAAAATCCCTTTTTGCATTTAAATGGGAAATAATCAGGCAATTACACCTGATCATGTATGAACTAGAGCAGTGGTTTTCAAAGTGTGAGGCGCGCCTCCCCGGGGGGGCACCAGAGCTTCAGGGGAGGCGCAGCGTGAGAAAGAAATAACGAGAAACAGTGAAATCTAGCTAGTTAACTTCAGCTAACTTTATGCGACGATCCGGCAACATGGATCGATTTTTAGTGAAATTACCTAAAGTGAGAGAGGAGACAGCGTCTGGCAGAAAACGTCACTTGGACACTTTTGGCTGTCTGTGGAGACAGAGTTCCCCCACCTCGCCAAAAAGGCTGTAAAAGTGCTCATTCCCTTCACCACCTACCTGTGTGAGTGCGGGTTTTCCGCATTGACTTTGATCAAAAGTCAAGGCTGCAGCCAGAGGATGATCTGCGTTTATTCCTGTACATTGCATCCCCGCATCATCCGCCTGTGCGTATTAAAGACGCAGACTCATTGTTCGCACTAAAGTAGGGGTGAGTGTAATAAGGAGGCAAAGTTGACGTTCAGTGTGTTGCCGGGAGCATATAAGGATTTATCCACAAAAAAAATGTTTAAAAAAAATGTTTAAAACATAAAGATTAAAAGGTTTAAAAAAGTTGTTGTTTCATGTTTTAAGGAGGTGACGCTACTCAGCCAATCAAATCGGTGCAGTCAGTAAGTCAGCACGATAGATTCAAACACACACACAGAGACAAGAAGAGAATTTCAAATGGCGTGCTCAAAAAAGAGAAAGGTAGACACAGCGAAAACAGAGCATTTAATGACATTTTCTCTTACTGGACCTCTTTGAAATGCAATTGAATACCCCTACATTATAGCAACAACAACAACAATAACAATAATAATAATAATAATAATAATTGGGACGGGGGGCACGGCTTTTCTTATGTTCTCTGAGGGGAGGCTCACCTTCCCACACTTTGAAAACCCCAGA